ATTATTATTTTATTATTGTGTTTTGTTATTTCATTATATCATCATCATTATCATTTTATTATTGTTATTATTGATGTGTTGTCATATTCCATTTATCATTATTATCATATCATTATCATTATTATTATTTATTATTGTAATTATTTCATTATATTATTATTATTGTTATTATCATCATCATCATACTATCACAGTATTAAAGTATAGTAGTTCATTGTTGTTATATCATTAAGTAGTAAATATCTTGTCATCATTATAATCATCATCATTATTACTATTATCATTATCATTATTATTGTAATTCTCATTATTATTGTTTTCATTACTATCATTGTTATCGTTTAATTTTTAATTTCATCATTATTATCATTATTACTATTATCATTAATATTATCATTACTGTCATTATTGTTATTATTACTTTATCATTATCATCATTATTGAAATTATTGTTCCTGCTGTTTTGATTGTCATTATAATTTTCATTATTTTATGTTACTAATATTATTACTATAATTCTTATTAATGTTATTATCATTATCATTATTTTTTATTATAATTGTATATTATCGTGTATAATATCATTATCATAATTATCATTATTAGCATTGTTATCATCACGTGTATTATCTCTATCATCATTATCATCATCATTGTTATCATTATTATTTTCATTATTAATATCATTATTATTATTATTATTATTATTATTATTATTATTATTATTGTTATTATTATTATTATTATTATTATTATTATTTTTATTATTATTATCATTATTATTATTATTATCATTATTACCATTACTGTTATTGTTATTATCTTCATTACTATTATCATTATTATTATTATCATCATTATTTTCTTTATGATTGTTATTATAATCGTTATTGTCATCATTACCATTATCATTATTAGCTTTATTATTGTTACTATTATCATCTCTATTATCATTATCATCATCATCACCATCATCATCATTGTTATCATTATTATTTTCATTATCATTATCATTATCATTATTATTATCATTATTACCATTGTTAATGTTTTTTGTTAATATCATTATTTAATAGTATTATTATCATTATTTTTATTATCATCACTATATTATTTCATCATTCATTATCATTCTTATTGTTGCTGTTATCATTCCCATTATCATTATCATTATTATTATTATCATTGCTGTTACTAACATTCAACAATATTATCATTATCATTAAATTACTATTACCATTACTAACATTGCTATGATCGCTATTATCATTATTGTTATCATTATTTGTTATTATGATTGTTATGAATGGCATCACTATTATTTTTGTTATTATTATTTTTATTATCATAATTATTAACATCATTATCATTATTTTATCACTACTTTCATTATCAATCCTTATCATCATTATTATCAATATTATCATTTTACTATCATCATCATCATTTTCATTATCATTGTAATTATAACTGTTACTAGCTTCAACAACATTCTTATTATTATATTACTATTATCACTACTATCATTATCATTATTATCATTAATAATATAATTCTTATTATCATCCTTATCATTACTTTTACTCTCATTATCTTTTTCATCATCCTCGTTATTATCAGTAATTGTCATTATCATCATTATTGTTACCATCACTATATCATTATCATATCATTGCCATTATTAGTATAATTACTATCATTATCATTATTACTTTTATTGTCTTTATTGGTATTGTTTTTATCATCCTTATTAGTATTAAATTTATAAACATCATTGTCATTATTATCATTATCAACATTATCACAGTTATTATCATTGTCATTATTACCATCATTATCATCATTTTAATCAATGTCATTATCACCATCATTGATATCATTACCGTTGTTATTATCATTATTATTATCATCGTTATTACAATCAAGATCATTAGGATTATCATTACTGATATCATTGATGTATCATTATCATAATCATTACCATTATCATCAATATTCGCGATTACCATTATCACTATTATTACCATTATGGTGCTTTAGTGTCATGGTATTTTTGATATCTCACTTTCCCTTTTATCTGTTATATATCTTCCTTTTTCAGTATCTTCTCTTTTTGAACTAAAAGTCTTCTTTGTGTCTCCCTCCTCTCTTCCTTATTCCTCGGAACAAATATGAATAGTTATGAAGTTTGAGAGTATGAATAAAGTTCGTTGCAGATGGAGAGGTCTTTGCAACACACATTCATGTCGATAGAAGGGAAAGTTTGGGTGCTATTACTCTCTTTTTGTTTTTTTCTTTCTTTCTATCGGTACATCTCTCTCTCTCTCTCTCTCTCTCTCTCTCTCTCTCTCTCTCTCTGTCGATCTCTCTCTCTCTCCTCGTGATAAATGCGTCAAATCAAAATCTATCTCTCTCATTCTCCGTTTTTTCTCTCTCTTTGTTTGTTTCTTTCTTTATCTGTTTCTCTTTCTCTCTCTCTCTCTCTCTGTAAGTGTGTCTC